TATTCATAATTACCGTTGTTTTTTGCATTTGGTTCGATTTAATTATTTTGAATTCGAACTATCCAAAAAAAATTTTAAAAAATTTAGAGCTATTTAAATTGATTATTTTTATTAAATATATCTAGAGTACCCAAATTAACCAAATAATATAAAAATGGCTAAACTATATGAATATACTAGATTGTAGGTTAGTTTTTGTTTTTAGAAATTTAGAACTCATTCGTATATACTAGTTCCTTAATGTTTTTAAAGTCAATAATTGTAATATATGTTTAATAATAATTTATATTATTTTTCAATGCATTATATTTTAAATCATTTAAAAAAAATTTTATTACATAATTTTATCGAATTATACTATTCAACCGCTACAGTGCTACCAATCAACCTTATATTTGAATTGTCTATTATCCAACCGCCTTCTCTAACCGCTGATTCTAACCGCCTTGTTTCAAACGACCCACTATTCAACCGCTCAAAAACTTTCAACCGCTCGTTTCAAATGGAGTCACCAATCGGATCCAGTATATTATAGGGAATAGGTTGCCAAACTTATGAAGCAAGATATATATACTGAAATGGACATTACTTGTTTAGTCCAAATGTGGATGTGTGAGATTTACATATATATATATATTTTTTTTTTTTGTCAACTGACATTTACATATGTATAGTTCGTAAAACATAAGATAAATTCTAAAACTTCTGGTGAGCACATTGTCGTTCTAAAACTTCATAATTTCATTAAAACTACAATCCTGGTTCAATTATGGTTCTTCTTGGGCTATTGGTCTCATAATTTTCTCTAAAGTTGGCTTATTGTAAAAATTATTGTGAGCACTTTTGCTTCATTTTTTAAATTAATGCAATTAAATGTAAAAAAAAAAAACCTTCCATAATTCCAAAGAATTCAAAGTTGGATTAATTTATCCAATAGCCAAGAAAAAAAAGTATTTAACCAAGTAACCAAAAGCCTAAAATCAATGGTTGTGATTGTGCTACAAAAAGGGTTTTTGGTTACTTGGTTAA